AGTTCAAAGCAGCAGAAGTAAGGAATGACACATTCAGCCCAGCAACAAGCGCATCGTTGGTGAGACTTATCCCTATTTTGGGACTACAACAGGAACACGCCTTGTACTCCATTGATGTCAAGGACGCATTCTTGCAGGTACCACAAAGGACCCGATGTGCATGTCAATTCCCAAAGGAATATGTGGATCTGTTTGGCGACCAGGACCCCAGTTGTAGGAACGAAGGTTTGTTACTGCTAAGAGTACTTCCAGGACAGCGAGATGCAGCACTACTATGGAGTGATCATTTTGCAGGAACCCTCAAAGAGCAGAACTTTGATAGGAGCAAAGCATGCCCTACTTTGTTTCGTGACGACAGGAACAGCATACTTGTTGTGCATGTAGATGACATTCAGGCAGCAGGGAAAACAAGGCACCTAGAACCCAAGCTAGGAAAGCTAAGAGAAACCTACGAGCTAAAGGTTGAAGGCCCCTTCTTGACAGAGCAGGAACTTGAAGTAGGAGAGTCACACCAGACAATCCGATTCCTTAAAAGGAAATTCAGCTACCACAATCACGAGCTCCACATCACGAGTGACCCGAAGTATCTTGTGAAGCTTAAGGAAGAACTGAAGCTTACCAGCAAAGCCTCAAAGCCAACTCCGTGCACCCAAGAGTCGCAGGAACAGGACAACACTCAGACCTTGAACCAGGAACAAGCAGCATCGTTCAGGAAGAGCGTTGGCATACTCTTGTATGTCAGTCAGGACCGCCCTGACGTGCAGTTTGCCGTGAGAGGTTTAGCCTCCAAGATGTCGGAACCAACACATGGTTCTTGGAAGCACTTAGTCCACCTAGTGCAGTACATGTCGAGAACTGAAGGATACCATCTAGTGTACAGGAAGACACCCAGAGGACTCAGTAATCTCAATGAATCCATTAGGAATGGTAACTACGACTTTACAGGAACAAGGCCCAAGGAACACCACCTTTTGGAAGTCTTCAGTGATTCAGATTGGGCAGGAAAGAAGGACACAAGGCGCTCAACATCTTCAGGAATTGTTTGCTTAGACGGTCAGTGCATTTACTCTTTTTCTAGGAACCAGAAGTCGGTTAGCTTGAGCAGTGGTGAAGCAGAGTACTACGCAGGAGCGTCAGCAGCGTCAGATTCTATCTTGTTGAAGGAAGCAGTGGAATTCTTGACCAGGAAACAATGCAAGGTACACTTGTATATGGATTCTTCTGCAGCTAGAGGAATTATTACAAGGCAAGGTGTAGGTAGAGTCAAGCATTTGCAGATCAGGACCCTTTTTCTTCAAGACCTCCACAAAGAAGGAACAATTAGTGTTCACCCAGTAGGAACCAAGGAAAACACAGCTGATATAGGAACCAAGCCCCTTTCAGCGAAGCGTATCAGACTGTTGTTACACTGGCTAGGTTTTCAGACCAGCGAGAACGAACCAGTAGGTAGAGAAGAGCTCAAGGAACACAAGGCCCAAACACAAGCTAAAGCAGTTGTAAGGATGATCAAGAGCCCAGGAACTTTGTCTTTTGCAGCTTTGTTGTTTGCAGGAATTTCAGGTATTTCGGACAGTCTTCAGATTCAGAGTTTCAAGGAACAGTGTTTTGAGAGTTGTGTTCAAGAAGAAGAGTTTCAGGCAGACTTTCAGGAACATGTTTTCTGCTGTGCAAGTGCATGCGAGCAGGACGGCATATGCAGTGACACGAGTGCATGTGAGCTAGGAACGTTTGCAGGAACAGCGCATGGAACAACATGTAGTGAGATGCTTTCGCAGCTCAAGGAACTCTGCGGAACACTCGCGGAACGCTCAGGTATCCAGGAACTAGTACGCCCAGTAGCAGGTCAAGGCACCTTACCAGGAACCTCAGCAGCCATGGAAGCGAGCGCGAGTTCAAGCAAAAGCTCAGAAGAGATCGTCAAGGAACTTCAGACCTTGAAAGAAGCGGCAGTCACGTTGAAGACTGCTACAGAAGAAAGGAACTTGATCGCGGAGTCGATCAGGAAGAACACAGAGGAAGCTGCGCGTTTGCGCAAAAGTCAGGAACACGTTGCAGGATGTGTGGAAAGTTTGACATCCCAAATCTACAGCGTGAAGCACCAGGTTCAGGAAATGGCCGAAGAGAACGAAAGAGACCGGAAGCAGGTCAAGGAACACATGAACTTCGTCCTAGGTACATGTGATTCCGTGAAGGAACAGCTGAACCAGATGATGCAGGACTTCTACGAACAACAGCAAGAAGAAGAAGAAGACGAAGAGGAACAAAGGAAAAGAGAAGCCAAGGACCGAGAACTAGAAGGTGAACTACGTCGTGAAGGACACGGACAAGGAACAGCACCTTCGAGAGCTACGTCACCTACCTCCCAGGAACACAAAGGAGAAGACGATATAAGGAACTGGTCAGACAGGAGCTACTTCGAAGGACTCCAAGAACAGGAAGAAAGCCAGGACTACTTCGGCGAGAACGAGAACGAGGCCTACGTGGACAGCTACGTTGGAGGAGAAGATCCCGGGGAGTACCCCGAAGAAGCCAAAGCAGAAGAAGGAACAGCAGCAGCAGAGGAAGAAGAAAGCGAGGAAGCAAAGGAAGAAAGAAGGAAGAAGAAGATCGCGGAGATCAACGCCAAAAGCAAGCAAAGGCTAAAGGAGAAAGAAGAGGAAAAGAAGCAGTTTCCGTACCCCTACGACTACAGCAGCGAATGGAAGGAATACTCCGAGAACGGCGAGATCTACAAGCAGCACAGAGTCACAGGAGAAAAGATCCACATCGACAAGGACTACACGTACAAGCACGAGAAGGGAACAAAAGGAAAGAAGGAAGGAAAAGGAAAAGGAAAACCAAAGGCAAGAGCAGAAAGCACAGGATTTCGACCTCGAGATGAAGATGATCGCAAATATTGGAATGAACAGGACAAGATCTCAAAGGAGCAGAAGGAAGCGAAAGCCAAAGCAGAAGAGGAGAAGAAGGCAAAGGAGGAGCAGATTGCCAAAGCAAGAAGGATTTTGGAAGAAGCAGCAGAAGAGCAGGAAAAGCGAGACAGAGAGCAGGCAAAAGCAGAAGCCGCAGCAGCCGCCGAGAGAAGGCGAGAGGTAGAAGCGGCAGCCAAAGCAAAAGCAGAGAGAGAGGCAAAGGAAAAGGAGGAGACAGAAGCAGCAGCCGCAGCAGCCAAAGAGGAAAAGGAAAGAAAAGAACAGGAGAAGAAAAGAAAGGAGAAGGAAGCCAGGAAGAAGAGAGAGGAGGATCAAAAGGCATCGTCAGCGTACATTACCAAGAAGGAAGCAGAGAAGAAGGCAGCAGCATCAACAGCAACAGGATCAGGAGAAGCAGACAGGATCCAGAAGCTTGAAGAAATGATGAAGGAGATGATGAAGGAACGCAAAGAGGATAAAGAAAGAATTGCAAGCCTTACACAGGAGCTTGAGAGCAGAGGATCAGCAGCCGGGTCGCAGGCACCCACGGAACCAGACACAGCACCAGCAACACCAGCAAAAGAAGAGGAGAAGCCAGAAGGAAAAGGAACAGGAAAGGAGCCACCGAGTGTCACACAGCAGCAGCAAAGGAAAGGAGGAAAGGACGACCCAGAACTTTCCGCCAAAGGACCAGTGAACGAAGAATCGTTCATGAAGGGCAAAGGAAAAGGAGAGTTTGAAGGAAACTGGTTTGCAGTCTACGGTTTCCAGAACAGGAACTACCAGTGGAAGTGGAACGAAGTCAAGACGCAGTGGTACTGGTATTCCGGATCAAAGGAAACAGGTTGGAAAGCAGGATCAAGAGACAAGCAAGGAAAAGAGAAGTGCATGGCACAAGCAAGGCAGCGTGCAGAGTGGCTAGAGCAAGAACTCAAGGAACAGAAAGAAGTCAGCAACGAAGAAGAAGGAGTAAAAGTCTACAAGGTCGACGACGGCGAAGTGACCTTCCAGTGAAGCAAAGGAACAGCGAGCAGTACTGAGGCCAGAGAGCCGAGGAAAGAAGCAGCAGGACACAGGAACCGTGGCACAGCCCTTTTTGTTTCTGTGGTGATCTAAGTATAGTAAAGGAACGTCTTTTGTACAGTCGAGCAACCTTGGAGAGGATTGCGAGTGAACATAGGAACATATGTTTGCGATGAGGCAGAGTGTTTGTTTTGCAAGTGAAAAGGAACTGCAGTGTGTTTACTGTTGACAGGAAAAGTCGGAGTCACCTCAGTCGAGGAACTTTCGCTAACTCCGAAGGCGGGGTGTTAAACATCTTGCCAGGAACAGTAACACAGTTAGTGCAGTGCAGTTAATGTACAGGAACAGCCGTCACGCACACGCGACGTGCAAGGCTCGAGACCAGCGGACACAGTGACCCACAAGGAAAAGTGACCGCTTCAGTTTGAGAGTAGGAAGCTTAGTGAAGCCCGTTCTTTAACACTCAAGGTAAGCACTCCAAGGTGTGCAAAAGTTGATAAGCCTCTCAAGGTATAATGGTCTCTCACTCAAAGGTAGGTGAGCTCTCAAGGTAAGCATTCCAAGGTATGCCATAGTTTGTTTTTTTTGGTAGTTCCTAAAGAAGGTGTTTTTGATATGTTATAGGGTTTGTTTAGGGTTGTGTAGGGTTTGGGGTGGTTCTGGGTTGTTGTGATGTGTTGTTGAGATGGGATGAGGTCCTTCAGGGTTTAAAAGTGTTCTGTTTGGACCATAACAGCCCGTCTGCCTGTCCAGCAGGCTCACAAAAAGTGGTCTAGACCCCCTGTTGACAAACCCATGAAGAAAGCAAGCCATTGTTGTTTGCAAGGCAATCTCATTTAGAAGTCTATCCTGGTCAGACAACGCAACAGAATTCATCTTTCGCTTGCATCCATACCCTTGTGTGTGTGGTTGTAGCCCCTGAAGCCCAAAAGTCCAAAATCCACACCCCAAGAGACGAGGTACATCTCAACCTATATAGGGAGACCCGTATATATAGTGTGAACGAATACGAAGCTAACACCCCGCCGCAAGTTTAAAATGTTTTGGCTGTGATGCAAGTTTCACAACATGGCTGAGGAACCGCCTCGGAAAAGAAGGGGTGGAGTCCGACAAAGGCAACAAGCTGCAAGAGAAGAAGAAGTTCAGACGAAGAGCCACCTAGCAAAAATCCTGCTAGAGCGATGGTGTCGTGGCGAGATCTCGCCACAGCAGGTTCAAACTTTGGCTCATGCGGCCTTGAAAGACATGAAACAGGTTTCGCCGGAAAGCTCGATGCCCGAGCTTGAAAATCTGGCTAAGCTCGGCGACTACGGACACTGTCCGAACAACTGCAACAAAGAGCTTCTAGCACTGGTGGAGCCGAAGGTAAAGTTCCCTCAGCCGTACCATCAGCAGGTGCCCTTCAAACAGCCGCTTTACGACCAAGACCAAGCTTTTTTTCTTCCTCATGAGATATTCAGCAAGATGTACACGGAATACCCTCAGCAGTTCAAGGCCTCGCTGGTCCCAAGCGATCAGCACTTGGAGGACTTCTGGAGTCAGATGCAACATAACCCACGATGGGAAGGTCACGAGTTGCGGTCTCGTGCTGATTTCCGGCACAAGGCTGTGCCTTTGGGCCTTCATGGCGATGACGTTCCAGTGGTTGGAATAGGGAAAGGATGGAGCAGCAAGATGTCCATCTTTAGTATGTTCAGCCTTGTCGCTGTTAAACAGCCGACCCGTGAAAAAATGCTGCTCCTTTACAGTGTCTTCGAGAGAATCAGGGTTCGCGAAGCTGGCCGCAACACTCTTTATTCCTTCTTTCGCCTGTTGGTGTGGTCGCTGTATTGGCTGTTCCAGGGGGTCTGGCCCCGCACAGACCCACAAGGCAAGCAGTTCCTTGTGACATTTAAAAATGAGAACTCATTTTCGTTGTTTATGAAGCACAGGTTTTTCTAAGTTCCATACATATAGTCTTATACTGTGTGGGAAGAGCTTGTGTGTAGCATTATATACATGTATGTAGTTTTCTTTTATGAGTCTTTCTGCCTATATTGGGGCACAAGTATAGTCGGAAACCCCTATATACTGAAAACACACACAGGTACAAGAGAGGCAGCCTTGGCCATGCGAGGGCTGGACGACCACTTGCGAATGGATATTTTGGTGTTCTCTGGGGCATCATCGGCGACCTCGATTACTTTTATACAATCCTTGAATTGCCACACTTTTCGCGGGCACACAATTTTTGCCCACTTTGCAGGGCGACCCTTACGGGAGAGACGACTTTCAGCGACTTCCGACCAAGTGCGAAGTGGCGACAGACGTGCTGGACGGCATCAAACTGGCGGGCATGGCCCAGCAGAAGTCAGGTGCCATTATTCTCCCTGGCTTACACGAGTTGCCATACTATCGCATTAGATCTTATGCACATTAAATACCTGGGTGTCGACCAGCATATCTACGGAGCAGTGCTTGAGTTGTTGACAACAATCATGCTGCCAAAGTCGCCGGAAGAGAACTTGAGGGATGTGTGGACAGACATTCAACATGCTTATCGTCAATTGCACACTCCGCCGCAGTCCAGGTACAGGTACCTGACGAAGTTGTCAATGTTCGTTCGCAAAGGCTACTCGAAGCTCCGTGGAAAGGCTTCGGAGGTCAGACATCTCGGCAGAGCACTTTCCCGGGTTTTCGATGCTAAGATGAATGATGCTTTGCAGATCCACAGAGATATCAGCAGAATGTTGCACTACAACATTCAGATGGAGGACATCCTGGAGGAGAACAAGGAAATGTATGCCTTGCCAGAAGATGCTGCCAATCGCTTCGCTCGCTGCTGTGATGCGATGCTTCTGTTACAAGAACGAGTCGCTCGCCACTTCGCAAATTCTGGCACCCAGCTCTTCAATCTTACCAGCAAGAGCCACATGCTTCAACATCTGGGGATTCTGGCCAGAGCTATAAACCCAAGGCTCACATGGTGCTGGAGCGGCGAGGATTTTATGCAACAGACACAAGCTCTCGCTCAGTCGGCCGTGAGAGGTGTCAAGGCGACGGATGTCATGACAAAGATGGCCCGGAAGTACCGGATTTGCATGCATTTGAAGTTCTCAGAAGCCGCCGACACCGACTGAGAAGGAAAATGATTTGTTTGCCCGACAGAGCCCTCGAAAGCCGAGAGTCTCCTACAACTACAACACAGCACAGGGATAATTTTGTAATGAATGTATCGTAGCAATATAAGCCTAACTCCAGCAGCCCCACACTCTCAAGCCCCAAGCCCCAGCAACTGAAGCCTTCTAGAAGCGACCCCCTCTGCACTCTCTCGTAGAAGTCCGCCCATACAAGCACAGCCCCTTTAGCCCTCAAAGCCACACCCGCAGCACAGCTCAAAGCCGAAAGCCTTTAAGACTCGCAACCTGGGCACAGGTGTGTGGCCCGACCTCTTCTTCCAGCAGGTCTCAAAGAAAGAGCTATACCGCACGAGGGAGGGAGAGAGAGAAAGAGGCAACCTACAAAGTGTGTTGGTGCTCTTTTGGGAAGGGTTTTGTGTATGTGTATATATGTGTGTGTATGCAGACGAACCATGTAGCACACAATGTTTGTGAGATGGTAACCGCCGGTTTCCGGTTTCTAGTATTTTGGGTCTCGTTTCTGAGTATCCTGTCGGCTTCCAAGTTTTCTTGTCTCTCAGGCCGTCTCGAAACATGACTACATTCCGTTAGGTATCTTTTGATGCCGTCTCAATATGATTATCGTAAAGATTTTCAAGCTCTAATATCTTCTCTAAGATTCTGGAGCCGTCTGAACATGATTATCTTCGGTTTTGAAGCTCTGGTGTCTTTTTGGGGTTTTGTAAAAGCTCTATATATAGTATCGTTTGAGGGGGTCGCTTCAATACACAGAGATTTATTTCTGGGGGATCCGTTTCAACAGAGATGATTATCTTCTTGTTTTCATCCTCTAGGGCTGTGTGTTTGTCTGGACATATTTATTTTCGTTTTTGTAAGACTCGAGTATCTTTTCTCGGTCGTGCCTGACGGAGTTGTGCGAATACCAGGCCAGTAGACATAAACATGGCTATAAATAGACATATAGATATGTATATATATATATATATATATATATATATGGATGTATAGATATATAGATGAGTATATGTGAATATATATATATATATATATATACAGGTATACAGATATAGAGATATAGAGATTTAAAGATATAGAGGTATAGAGATATGTAGATATATAGATATATAGGTATATAGATATGTAGATTTATAGATATATAGGTACATGGATATTTGGATATATGGATATATGGATAAATGGATAGACAGATATGTGGGTTCGTGAGCAAAACTCTTGTGGGGTATAGACAGAAAAGTGCGGTCGAAGTTTGCAGGCGGCCCAGGTCGAAACTTCGACTCGCCCCCGTTTTAACTATAGTCAAAATCGGTGGAAATAGTTAAAATTAGGGGGTTGCGAAATAGTTAAAATCGGTGGAAATAGTTAAAACCAGGTCCTTGAAAATAGTTAAAATTTGGGGTCTCGAAATAGTTAATTTTTGTTTTAACTAATAGTTAGCGTTTTCACTATTTCCTAGGATTTTGACTATAGTTAAAATTCTGACTTATCTGATCTATTGGGAGCCGAGAAGTGTGTCCTCTCTGGCGAGGGATGCAAGGCGCTGCTGGCCGGGCTGGCACGCTAAGCAGCCGAAGGACCCGAAAGCCCGAGAGCCCATGAGAAGCCTTTGACTGGAGCATTCGGGAGCATGCATGGCCACGCGGGGCCTCGGAAACCTGTGCTCCAGGCCACAACCCAAATCTTCTCTGACTCCTGCCACTGCTCTGCGCCGCAAGCCCGTCAGCTTTTTGGCGGGCACATGCTAGGGCATTATCACTCTGCAGAGTCAGCCGAGTAGGGTCGTTGGAAGTCTTCTCCCGCCTTGGTGGGTGCCGAGTCGAAGCATGCAGCATGCCTGGCTGGGGCGCTTGAGGGGAACGGGGTGGTACAGAGCTGTTGGTGTCAACGAGCGTCAGTGAACTTGCTTCTGCAAAGTGGTTGAGGGGCGCCGTCCTGGATTTGCTTTCGTGTTGCAGGGACGGCGCGCCGTGATTCCACGAAGATGTCTCTCGGTTGTGCACCACCCTCGATGGGGTTTCCCTGCTGCTTCACATGTTAGGCCGGCCGTCAACGTGCTGCCCGAGATGCTTTTGTCAGAGCCGGCTTGCTGGCGGCGAGAGTTGCTCCTGTGATGTTTAAGATGCCACAACGCTCCGGTGTCTGCAATCGGGCCCTTACCAGCACTTCGACAGTGTAATGCGGCATTTTGCAGTTTGCAGGGGTCGCGATTCGAACGTGAACGTGCAGATCATCTGATCTTTTGCCGTGCTACTCTGGCGAGCAGCCTTCATCAGCAAAGTGACGGCTGCTTGATCACCTGCAAAGTCGGGGCACCCAGTCGAACTCTGCCATCCATGCAGGGCGATCTGGGTCCTGTCATGTCTTGCCTGGAAGAAAGAAGCGTGCAGACAGCTAAGACCCTCCGCTCACTTGCTCCTTGGGCAGTGCAGCCGTGTACTTGGAAAGCCAAAAAAGCTAAACACTACCAGTTGCTTTGGACCCTTCGGAGTGAGCCTAGCACGGAGATCTGAAGAGGCGGAGACGCCCGCTTGCGTCTGAAAAGAGAAATTCCGGCGTGGGACAAAGCCGCAGCCCCGAAACCCTCTTGGACTCTCTTTTCCATGCTTTCGCTCCCACAACCGCCCGCCTGCAGAGGCAGAGCTCCGAGGCCACGGCGTCATTAATGGCGAATCGCCCGAAGCTTCCAGCGCTGCCGCCCTGTAGCCAGTGACTTCTGGCCAAGCCGCCTGTGCCCTGCACGTGCCTTGGCCGGTTTTCGATTGGCGCGCTCGGCATGCTGTGAATCTGGAATGCTATAGGTTCTCGCAGCATGCAGCTTGCAGGGACGATAGAACAAAAGGCTTGAGACCAGACAGACCAGAGCAGCTTTCTTGCAACAATCGTGTGATGAGAAGCCCTTTTCCACGAGCTTGTGCACGCCTGCAATGCTCATTTAATAGATGTGATACCGAAGCATTGCGTCTTTCGGATTGCTGCCCTGCATGTAAAACTTTGAGCTATCAGGCCTTTTGGAGACGGCGTCTTCCCCAAGCTCTTCTGAAAGCCAGGGCGCCACAGCTCCGGCATGCAAAACAACTGGTGCTGGTCTGCGCTACAGCTCTGCCTTGCAAAACCGCTTGAACCGGTATATGGGTGCTGCAGCTCTGCCGGGCAACACAACTTGTGCTCGTTTGGGAGAAAAAGGCGTGGTGCGCATGCAAGCCTGCCTGAGCAGGTACAGCGGCCACAAGTCTCTGCTAACGCCTTCGCTGCCATTCTCGTAGCTGAATACGGTAACATGGAGGCTGCGATCATGTTTGTCATCGACAAGCTTTTCTGCAGGATCAGCTGAATCAAGTGTGCGGCATCTTGAACTCGTTGCGGTGCTTTGCAGCCATTCGTGGCATTGAATGGATCATGATCCGGGTTGTGAATAGTGTCGGTGACAGTTTACTGCCCCGCAAGACAACCTGATCCACGAAGCTCTTGACGCTGGCATGGGATCAATCAAAGCATGGGTTCAATAGCTATTTTTTGCAGTACCCCAAAATAGCATGCTCCTCTTGAGGTCGGAGTGTGCGTGCCGAGTAGTGCATGTGCTGCAAGTCTTGAGAGCTGTCTGGTTTTCTGGAGAGGTGCTTGACGGAGCGTCAAGTTTCCACGCAGCAAAGCTGCAGAACGGGGACGTCTCAGAAGAGGGTTCCAAGAGCGCCGCGGGCGCTGATGGGCTGCTGTTGGCCATCTTTGCACACGGCTGCGGTCGAACCACGAACCTCCGAACCAGTGTTTTTTCCCAGAACGCAGCCCGCTCCCTGGGATCAACTCGGAGACCGCAAGCTCCAAGAGCTGGACATGAGGCTCTGCTGCGAAGTCCCGGCCGTGGCTCGGCTCCTGTCGACCGCTGAGAGCAGCTCCGGAAGGCGGATGTGTCTGCGCGCCGGCGAGAGGAGGCGGATTCCAAGGCTCTCTGTCAGAGACCCGTCTGCTGCACCAACGTGCCGCCGAATCGATCGAGGTCTGCAGATCTTCTAAAGACGCCGAGGTTCGCCGAATTCCGAAGGGCTGCTCTCGGCCTTGGCCGGCTGCCAGCTGCAGGACGCGGTTCAGCCCGCGAGTTCGATTCTGTTTGCGGATGAGGCTGGCGGCTGAAATGGGGAGCCTGAATTAACAGGACATTCATATTATCGTAGAGCCGAACTCGGCCTTACAAAAGGCAGCATTTTCCAAAGCCCGCACTTGGACCCGAGACAGGTCCCTAAGGTACACAAGCGGGAGATTCGGCTGCATTTCTGCGATCATATCCCGGCTGCGGCGTGGCAGCAGCTCGAGGGTGCCCCTTGGCCGAAGGTGGACTTCTCCGCGCGCCTCGGCTTTTGCGCGCCTGTTGAAGTGTGCGGGCCAGCGTGTTTGGGATGGCCTGCATCACATCATTTCAGCGAGAAGTTTCGATGCTCTTTCGGCCCCAGCACATTACGCATTCTGACCACCACGAGGAAACATTGTTCAGCAGAGCGGGAGCGCGAGGTGGCTTGCATGATCTTCCTGCAGGAGCCCTGCATCCGCGATCGCCGAGAGCTCGCGCAGAGCCAGGAGGCGACGCTGGGAAGCGAAGCTCCGAGCACCGTCTTGAAGCGAATCTCCAGATATCGCAGCAGGAACGCGGAGAGCTGCACAATCGCCTGGTTGTGGCAGGCAGGCGTCCAGCAAGGATGCATGGGAAGCGCATGCAAACCGTACGTGCAGTAGCTGTGCAGAGTCCGCCATGTCGGAGATGCGACAGCAGCTTCCTAAAGCGCAGCCCGTCATAACGAGAAAGTGCAGAGCCGGTCGCGAAGGCCGTGCATCAGAACCGGTGCGAGCAGCGTTCCAACGGCAACTTGCCAAAACGCAGGGCCAGATGCAGGTCTGCTCGGAGCGGAAAGGCATACAGAAGCAGCGCATCCGGTCCGTGAACGCCAAGTTTCAAGGAGAGTCCTCTTGCAGTTCATGGCCATGGTGAGACG